GATCTATATCTTAGAAGCCCAACATCTTCTCAATTTTACCGCTTAGCTCATCCTCAACAATTTCAATAACCAAGCTCATTTTCTGTTCCTGGGAACAAACATCTACCTCGTATCTCTCATGAGAAATCTGAACCCTGTCTGGTTGTTTACCTGTAGCTAGGTCCTCAAGGCCTACTGCCAAACGCCCTCTCTTTTCACCCAAGATGCCAGTCTGAACCTCTACCTAGCGCCTGCTACCAACCACCATGCCACTCCCACACCAAGCTGGCCTGCTCCATCTACCTATCTACACACTGCCTTTTGCTACACATATGCCTATGGTGAAAAGCTGACCGTAGGCATATGTGGACCTTTATCCAAATTTCTCAGACCAGTGTTCTGGTCTCTCCCCGCATCTAGAAAGACCTAAATCCTGTTGGAGGTCAATCTGTCTAGTAGTTGAATTTCAAATACTACAACTAAGTGAGTCACAGCTCCCTCATAATGATTTCCCAATTTACCTAAATTTCAATCACATCATACTAGGCTTTCTTCTTTCTTTTCTGAAGACAAACTCTGAAAACTTTCAGATTTTTCACAACTGGTTTCACCAGTCCACCTAGGAAGCAGATCTGCAGCTATGTCCTATTCTTATCCAAACCAAGATTCATTACACTTCTTTCTCTATCTTCCAGCCCTCGACACAATACCATTGCTTCATAGACATTAAAAAATTAAACATTTATCATACGTAAAGTACATTTAATAGCAGAGGATATTCCATGACAAATGAGGGAAGAAAAAAATCATAGATTCAAATTATGTACAAAATAAAAATTTAGAGGTTATTTTGAACAGCAATATGGAATGAACCAACAGCATTTCATATTTATAACTTTTTTATCTTAAATGCCTTAAAATCTAGAGAATATTAAGTTAATATGATATAATTTTACTGTGTAAATCCCACATTTAGAGAGATACATGTCAAACTTCAGGCTAGTTTCTATAGAAAAACATAAAATAATAGGATGTAAATTTTCACCCTTAATGTAATTTTATGGAATTATAACTATTAAAAGTTTGAAACACTTAGAAAAATCTGATCAAGAGTACTTACTAATTAAGGAATACAACTGATTATTAGATTTGCTAGTGATCCAAATTTGAAAGAAAATTTCCTAATATTCCTCTTTCACACTCTGGATTAGTTTAATTGAAGTAAATCCTGAGATTGAAAGGTGAGCCATTAGCAGACAATTTCTATTTGCCACTACTTATCTGTATGAACCAAGATTTTCTCCAAAGAGTGCAATAAAGAAAAAGAAATAAATCACTCTATTAAAAAAGTGCATATATCTATAAACCACCTGCATAACTCTGTCCATTAAAACTGCCTCATAATTTAAACATGTTGACTTGTTACATATGTGAGCTTATAAAAAAAATAAACTGGGGCCGGCCCCATGGCCTGGTGGCTGTGCTCAGTGCACTTCGCTTTGGCAGCCCGGGTTCACAGGTTCAGGTCCCAGATGCAGACCTACACCACTGTCAGTCATGCTGTGGCAGTGACCCACATATAAAAAAACAGAGGAAGACTGGCAACGATATTAGCTCAAGGCTAATCTTCCTCAAGCAAAAAAAGAGGAAGACTAGCAACAGATGTCAGTTCAGGGTTACTCTTTCTCAGCAAAAAATAAATAAAAAGTTCACAACTTTATCTAAAATTAAGAGAAATTCAGGCCTTAAAATCCACTTACTTGTTCAAAAATGAAAATTCACATATAGTAACACTTTGTGCCATTCACTTTCTAATTCTGCTCCGAAATACAGATGTAGTTTTAGAATAAGAAAAATAAGTATTGCCTTTCTATCTCTCTAAAGATCTCCCCAAAGTCTTTCACACAGAATGCTTCAAATGATAAGCATTCTTCCACATTTAACAAATGCAGAAACTAAAAACAGTGCTTTAGTTTAACATAAAATTCAAGTAAGTCTATACTAGTACTCATTCCTCTTAGGTTTTCCTAAACTATTAAACTTACTACCAATAATGGACTTTCTTACAGTATATCCAATATTGAAAAAAAAAGTCCATTCCGACATAATTTTTGTAAGGATACACTACATAATAGTCAATTTCTGCACTAGTACCAAATCACCTCATCCCACTGGTCCTTTAACAGAAATTGCTGCTTCTAACAAAGGTCAAAAATTGAGAATTGTTTTTTCAAGTTGGTGGAAGAATTAGGGAAATCCTTTGAAAATGAAAATAACAGCAACTGGCATGGCACTGTTCTAAGCACTTTACGAGTATTAACTCAGTCAATCCTCCTAACATCCTATGAGGTTGATATTTTTATCCCATTTATAGACTAAGAAACTGAAGCAAAGAGAGGTTAAGTAAGTTGCTCAGTCATAACAGTGAGCAGGTGCAGGAGCCAGAATTTGGCCTTAAGCTGTGCTAGTCCACAGTCCATGCTCTTCACTCTCCAGCTGTACCACCTAAAAGTAGGAACCATCACTTAACAGATAGCCAAGATATTTCAAACAAAGAAGTTAAAGATTTTTCATTTTATCACAAACCTGATGAAATATCATGTAAATATTTTAAGCTATCATCTTAAATCACAAGAAATAAAAACTGCTGATAACAAAACCAAGCAAATGAGGGGCCGGCCCGGTGGCGCAGCGGTTAAGTTCGCACGTTCCGCTTCTCAGCGGCCCGGGGTTCGCTGGTTCGGATTCAGGGTGCGGACATGGCACTGCTTGGCAGCCATGCTGTGGTAGGTGTCCCACGTATAAACTAGAGGAAGATGGGCACGGATGTTAGCTCAGAGCCAGGCTTCCTCAGCAAAAAGAGGAGGACTGGCAGTAGTTAGCTCAGGGCTAATCTTCCTCCAAAAAAAAAAAACCAAGCAAATGAGATTTATATTGAGGAAACTCCCTTAAGTGATCACTTTTTTGATAATTTTAAAGTAAACTATCACATGACCAATAAATTTAAAATATACATTTATATGGAAATGTCTGACAGATACCTTTCAAAAATTAACTACAAATGCCCCCAAGGAATCAACCTTCAAAACACACTCTGGGTAGTCAAATTGAGAAGATGCAAACATCACACTTTACCAAAATAATCTGGCAACTCACCTAACCAGAACACAGCAAAGAAGTCACTAAGAAAAGGCCTCTGGACAATTAACATAGGTACTCCAATGTCCAAGTATTGATACTCATGTACTTTTCTCAAGAAAAGATTTCACACACTTAGTAAGGGTCTTATCCTTCCCTTATGCAGAATTACAAATCTGAATATGATTTCCACACTTGCACAAAAATCAGAGAAGAGAGGCTAACGGGAGACACTGATCCCAGTGACACGCACATCCAACAGCAAAGCAGAAAAATATTTAAATAACTTCGAAATGCAAGGAATCTGATCGACAGTCCTATACACAATCCAACAGATCCTTAAGGCATCACAGTAACTGACGGTCACAAATGATGACCCTGGGTCATCAAGGAGTTTAATTACATTCTGCATCCTATTTAACACAGAAAGGAACTGCATATTTAATTTTAGTACAGTTTTCATCCAAAGTGATTAAAGTGTTGTTACAATTTGATACTTAAAGGAATAAACTGTCAATTACCCAGTAAGCTCAACTAATCAATTAGAAAGGAATTCATTCCAAAATTCCAAATAGCAAAGGTTTTACTGTTTCTGAGTTTAAGAGCACTTTGTCTACAAAGTGTTACCTGAAAGCAAGAGGGAGATGAAGGAACATAAAAGTAGAAAGTCTAAGAAAAAACAGAGGAGCTGGGCGAATGTCTATAAACACTAGCTTAAAGCATTTCTCACAAAACAATGTGTGGGCAGAAGGTGCCACATCAGCAGTACTCTGTATTTGTCCTGCTTCTAAATCATTTGCTAGTTTCATGAATTATTAATTTCGGTTAATAGTTTGTTGATACGAAGCAGTACCAACTTCTCAACTGCAAAAAGTGATAGCGTCCTCCTGCAAAAATTAGGATTACTTCGTACAAAACTCTACAAAACCAAAATCGGAATTACTCTTACAGAACATGCTTACGCCTTACGGTGGCACAAATGTATGCTTTATGGTGGCACATATTTGATTTTTTGAAAAAAAAAGTTCTGTTTTAAATTGCTTTTAATTTTTGAACGATACAGGGGGGAGAGAGCCTAGCCGACACCGCACTTTGTTACCAAAAGAATTGTTACATTCCTCAAGAAAACTCCCTTTCAAAACAGGCTGCAACACATTCTTTCTCTAGCTCCAAACAAAACTTTAAAGCACTTAGTAAATAACATATAAGGCCTTGTACTTTTCCCTCCTCTAGCAAGGAAGTCTGACTCCAAACAGGAAACCGCTTCTCAAAGGGTTCAACCCTGAAATCCTATCAAACCCCAACCCGGCGCTCGGGAAGAGATTTCATATCCAAGTGCCAACACACTTGCCTAGGTAGAAACAGGGTAAACACTCAAGCTTCCCCGTCCGCGAAGCATCTCTTGCAAATTTAAGCAGGCGGGGGAAATTGCGTTTTCTAACAAAAACGAACTTTTTAAAAGGCCAACCTATACAAAGCCCCACAGAAGATAAAGAAGTTGAAAGTGCTACTTTGTCAAGTTTTTGATCGCCCTCCCCCACCGCCCAGGAACGGGGAGGGAAGGAAGGGGCTGGAGTACAGAGGGAAGCTCCAGGCCGAGTTTCGCTGGGGCAGGGGCGAGGAGGGGAGCCCGGGCGCCCCTGACCGCCTTCCCGCACCTTCCCCGGGAGCAGGAAAAGAGGCTGGGGGGGCGGGGAGAGGAGGCACCCGCACGCCCTCAGACTCACCGCTCCGCCAGGAGAGAAGGTGGACGGCTGCGCGGGGAGGGCGGCGGGGCCGCAGGGGCTGAGCCGCGGGCCGTCCCTGCGGAGCCCGGGAAGGGGAGCCGCCTCCCCGCAGCGGGCGGGCCGGCCGGGCGGCGGGAAGCGCCCCCCGTGTCTTACCCATGCTGGGGGCTCCCGCGGGGAGAAGCCCGGGCTCTCCTCCGGCTGCTCGCGCGGCCGCTGTGGCGGCAGGAAGGGGGCCCTGCGCGCCGCTCGTGCCCGTCCGGAGCTCAGGCGGAGCGAGGAGGCGCCGCCATCCGCCCGCGGCGCTCCGCACAGTCCCGTCGGCGCAGCCCCTGAGGAAGAGGCGGCGGCGGCGGCAGCTCCTCCGCCGAAGCCGCGGCGGCGGGAGGGCCGTCTCCCGCCCGCCTGGAGGGCGACTTTCCCACCCCTGGTCGCTCCCGCGGGGGGTGGGACCTGCCGGTCCGTCCCGGCCGCTGGCTCCAACCCGAAACGCCGACCGAGCCCGGGAACCCGCCCCTCGCCGCTCCCCCGGCACCCGCCGTTCTAGAACGCGACGCCAGAGACTGACGGGGAGACTCGGACAGAGGCCGGGAAGGTGCCGGGAGTCGGGCTGGCGAGGAGGCAAATCTCGCGAGAATCTCTCGTTCTCCCTGCCCCGCCCCCGCTGCGTTCCGGCTCACCACCCGGCCCCCCCCGCTGGTGCCAGGTGCGGTGACGTCACGGCCGGGGGTCGCGCGCCGCCCGCGTCCAGGTGCGGCGAGCGGATGGGGGAGGAATGCGGCGGAGCTGTGGCTAGTCTTCCGCCCTGTCGTTCGCAACAGCTGGCCCGGGTGTTGTGTATGGTTTGTCGCCTCAGATGTGTACAAAGAGTTTTTGCTGATAGGCAAAGTGAGCCTGGGTTGCGCCGCTTTCCGCAGCGGCGATGCGGTGTTGCTTTTTGCAGAGCAAAGCGGCGGCGAGAGAAGGCGAGCCCGCTTGCTCTTGACCTTCAGAGGCCCAGCTGTTAGCGGCACCCCGCCGTTTACGTTGCAAAGTTCTTTACGAATCAGAAGCATTTCTTCGTGGGAAAAAAACCCTAGACACAAAATAAATCCTGTTTTACAGGAATAAATTACTGGGTTCCTTCAGTCTCTCTCCGCTGAAGACAACTTTCTAAATCCCTTTTCTCCTTCGAAAATAATTTCTTGCCTGATCGCGGGGAGAAATAGTCATGATCTGAAATATTGCCAGGCATTTTTTCTAGCCTCAATTTGAAGAAGGGCAGAGGTTTATTTAATCAAACATGAGCCTTTCTTAGAGTTAGAAGCCAGTATAATTAATTCAGCCAGTTTTTTTCCCCCTCTTATGTAAGTAGACCCAATTCCCGCACAGATGTGTGTGAGAGCAATATCTGTTGAACGCCAACTACTGTGCCTGGTGCTTTTAAAGAAGTCGTGTCATTTAATTCTCACAATCATCCAACAGTAAAGCCGCCTTGCCCTTTGGAATCAGGCAAACCTGAGTTTCTGAAACTCAGCACAGCCGTGTACTTTTTGTGGGACCTTGAATACGTTAACGAACCTCACGGGACTTCAGTTTCTTGCTTCTGTTGAAAGAAATCTTTAAAATGCAAAGCACAGTGTCTGGTACTTAGTAGTAACCTTGTAAATATCCATTCTCACTATCTCCTGCAGGCCTGCGTTTGCGGCCTTTTAGTTCTTTTATTACTTCTAAAAAGATTGCCCGTGGTACTTTTATAGCAAGAATTGTCAGTCACAATCAGAGGCCAAAAGGAAGAAAAGAAAAAAATTTAATATGCATACCTAAACAAGATGTACATGTTGGCTGTGTTGTATTGAAACCATGGAACACATTGTGCCTTTTTTCAAACAACAAATATTTATTGTGTTAAGTTCATTGTCCCCTACCAAGCAGATTTTTTTAAAAAAGAAGAAAAACAAAACTCAAGTACTGTACAGCCCTTATCCTCAAAGATTTTGCATTCTAACTAGGAAGTGAGACGTGAACACATAGTTTATTAATAGAATGTGGTAGTGAGGATGAAATGCCTGAAAATTTAAAGGAAAATAAATGGCTATGAGTAAGGCAAGCTTCAGGGGGAAGGTATAAATTGAGCTAAAGCTTGGAGGAAGGCAATAATTTCAGCCTGGAGGAGCCCTAAAAGTAAGAAGTAGAAGTGGATAGGCCAACAGAATATTCCTGAGCCTTAAAGGAATCTGCGGGGCTCCAGCACCCCATAAGAAAGTAAACCATTTAAAATTTGAAAGAATGAGGCTGGTGCGAGAAGAAGAGGATTCGTGAAAGGAAACAAAGAAATAATATATTGGAAGGGAACTAAATTCCTATTTTCTCTAGGATCCTAGACATTTCAAGAAGAAAGGGCAATGAATAAAACTGAAAGAGGTTAAGGAAAACAAACAGAAGGCGGACAAAAGACCACTGGATTTGATGATATAGTTACCTTTGGAACTATAATTTCAGAATATGTATAACAATATGTAATGTGTAACTATATATGTATCTATATATTTATTCAGAATATATGTGTAACAGAAAAGTTAAAGGTTTCAGTGACTAAATGAATGATAAGGAAGTGGAGGCCACTGGGAGATAAGGTGACCATATTTTCTTAACCTGAAGTCAGGTCACATGATCTGATAACAAGATAAAATATTTACAATCAGTTCTATCCTAGAAATCCCAGGATCTGTATTATTTCCATAATAAACCACATATTTTAGAAGTTTGAAAGTTAAAATAAGCAAAATCACTTTGCAGATTCAGAGGGCAATATCCCATTGAGGTAATGTTGAGATTCTGGATCCTAGAAGAAGTTGAAAGGATCAGGGAATAGGACCCATAGGAAAGGTGGAGAAAACTGAAGTTAGAGCTAAGAAGTTTCACCCTCCCAAGGGAGTGCTGTCTTCCAAAGGCAAAGCCACAGGAAATCTCAATAGAAGAACGAAATCTAGAAATTGACTTTTTCCATTTAGAAAATTGAATGTAAAACTGCATTCTAAACTTTCAAATACTAAGCAATTGTTAGTTAACTACTCCATGGAGCTCTTTTCGTCTTGTAATTCTCACCTCCCCAACTTTAACAGGCTTTCAAAGTATGGCACTATATTTTACACATTTTTGTATAACTAGCTCTTTAACTGAAAACATTGCTTTCCTCAGCAATAAATCTTACTTGGATGATAGAAAATATGGTGAGAAGATAATCTCATACTTATATTTTGTCTTAACCTCAAATTCCTTTCAGCTAAAAACAAATTATCTTCTCTTTTTACCTTAATTTCCTTACTATCCCGTAATGAATTAGGTTTTCTCTATCCGTCTGGCCTCACCCTCCTTTGCATTCCCAGACAAATGGACTAACACCACTCTGACCACTCACTTTCTTTGTTTCCTGCTGAGTACTGAGCACGTCGATCTGGGATCAAAGAGAATATTACAATCTCTGTGAGAATGACACACTTCCAGACCAACCTAATTCATGCTAAATTGACATCATTTCTTCTTAATGTTTTCTTAGGAATTTATCAGACAACATCCATACTGAAAAAAATCATCTGCCTTTTTTCCTTCTGGTAAAACTCCTCCAACCAGCAAGATTATTCTGAAGAAAATTAAATATTAATTCGACTGTGTTATTTTTAACCCACTCATTTAGCTCAAATCTTTTAGGCAACTAATTATTTTTGTTTCTTTATTCTCAGTTCCACAGTACCAAATTTCCTGGCTGGTTTTCTTACAGTTATCTTGTTTTGCTTTGGCTAGTTTACTGCATACTTAAGCACAAATTACGTCAATGTATAACCTGAGTTTTAAAAATCGTTCTTTAGAAAAAATCGCAGGAAATAATAATCTCAAACACATGCCTATACTGTGAGGTCATTGAAGGTGGAAAATCTCGCTGCTCAGACTGGTGGCCCATCGGCTTGTAACAAAATCCTGCTACTTTGCTGGCAATTTGAGGAATGTACTCAAACATATGACCACTCTAAGCACTTTTCATTATTGCCCACTAAGAAAAAGTTTAATTAAAAACAAGATGAGCCCATCCAAATGACTCAGGACTTTGCCAACTGAAAGGACCTTTTAAATAATGTTATTTGCACTTTATTCAGACGGCAGTGTCACTATAGAGCTGGTGTATGATGGGTAAATAATACAACCCCGTAGGCCTTGAAAGAGAGTCTCTTTCAAGAAGCATGACTTTTTTGAAGTGTTACAGCCACTCTCTTTTGAAGGGTCAGATATTTTAAGTAATCCCAACTGACAAATACATTTGTGTTTTTCAAATATCAGGCAATTTAATCATACACACAATATTATGTAAAGAATTTTGAGTCATGAGTCCACGTTCATCAACTCAACAAACATTTACTGATCGCCCGTTATAGACAAGCACCTGCTCTGCCATAAATACAGAGACAGAAAATATAGTCCCTGCCCTCAAAAGAGGAAGTACTGGGGAGTCTTTGGGTGTACCTTGGAGCAGTCCAATAAGGAGAGGAAGGGTAATGAGACAGCCAGGCCAACAAGCAGGTGTACAATCAAACCCCTAGGATGCCTTTTGGGGGGCCAGGCTCGGGGATTTGAGGTCTTATTCTAGAAGTTATAGGTAGGTAATGAAGGATTTTAAGTGGGTAATTGATTTGTTCTTTCAGCCATGTCTACAATCACAAAAAAAATCACACATCTCAAAAAAGTTAGATATAAAACCTTTGGTCCAATAAGCATTGATTAAGCACTTACTACCCTCAACCAATTAGTAAATATGTTTTTTACTAATATAAAAAAAGTGTAAACATATAATATACAAAGCACTATGTATTCTGGGCATTGTGAGAGATGCAATGCAGTAAACACAAACCCTGCCTTTAAGGAATGTGATTTTTCCTTATGGACAGCTGATCACCTAGCCATAAATTGTTTCTGAAACAAGAAGTGGAAAGTTTATTTCAAATCCCTGTAACTTCCTTTAATGCACAGATGATAACGCAGGTTATGTCCCGTCTGACATTGGAGCTTTTCAACTGCCTGTTCTGACATTATTTTGATGCCCAGAATTATATGCCTGCCAAAGCAAAAGAAACTCATAAACCAAGACGTTCCTCTCTGCATATTCCTGAGAATTCACATTCCATTCTGCCGGTTTCCAGGCCACATCTCACCCCTCCCACAATTGCACCACATTCTATACATGGCTCATAAGCAGAGCTCCTCAATCTCCTTGTCAGCCCACACCTCCTTACCCAGCTTGGCCTTTTCTCACATCTACTCAAATATCTGAGGGTGAATTCAAGTGAAACTTGGTACATTTCAACCTCCTTACTCCTGAGGCTTATACTGATACCTCCAGGTTATAACCAGGGAGGCTCAGTCATTCTAAATGATCTCCTGCACACTCTGCCTACCTTCTTCTTTACAGAATTGATTCTTCTTCAACATGGGCTATATCCCTTTTTTTCCTCTCTACAGTTGTATCTCTGATTCGGACCCTCATGATTTTATACTTGGGC